AAATGATCCTTGTCTCTTCTGATGGACTGATTGATCACTATGTCCGAAATGCCGTACATTTGAGCAGTTGTCGTGTCGTACATGGACGGAACTGCCGTACCGAAGGCCATGGCCTTTGCTTCGATAATTACAGTAGTACATAATTTTAATAATAAGTAAAATATTCACACAGTATTTACTCCTTTCCTGCCCGCTCTTCCGCCACTCCAAAAGGCGATGGGGCCCTATGGGGCATCGGTGGTGTCCATCAGGGGACTTGGGAGCAAAACGCCCCGCGGCCGGCGGCGAAAGCAGTCGACGTCGTCGCCGCCGCTTCAGCCGCCGCCGTCAGCACCCACCCGGCCGCCGCCGCTGCCGCCGTCAGTACCAGCTCCACCGCGGCCGCTGGTCCTGGTGAGCCCACACGCCGCTCTTCTCGGAGCCTGACCGGCTTCACCGCCAGCCGGGCTGTGGGCGGCCGCCCTCATCGAGACGCGGGACGGGCCCTTTCGGGATTAAAGGCGATGCTGTTGGGCAGCGGCGGCGGCGGCGGCAGCTGTGTCGGCGGCGGCGGCGGCGGCGGTGGCGGAAGCAGGTCTGGGACTCCAAACCACACAACAGGAGCTGCCTGTGGGAGGAACCGGCAGCACCGGCCCCAGCCCCAGCATTGCCTGGATGGTGAAGCGGCGTCGCCAAGTCCGCGTTGGCGCCGCCGCTTACAAGCACCCGCCTTGTGGTTGTTTGGCGGAGGCAGCGGCAGCGGCAGCGGCGGCGGCAGTGGCGGCGGAGACGGTGGCGGCGGCCGCCGCCGCTCCGGCCAGCAAGCCGCCAGATGTCCACTAAGTGTCGATACAGCACCACCGCTACAGCCACAACCACAACAGCAGCAGCAGCAGCAGCAGGAACCATCTCAAGAAAGGATTTGCTCGCGGGCGGAACAGCGCTACAGCCTAGAGCACCATCGCGACCGCCGCCGCCGTACCAGCCTCAGCAGCTTGCTGCTACATCCTCTCCAAGGAGGGCGCTTCCATAGCCCCGCGGCGCCGTTGCGGCCGACAACGCAACCGCCACCTGCGCCAGAGCAGGTGTTGTCGTACACGCCCTGCCGTGGCCGCGCGGCTTCCGTCACTAGTATCTGGCCTGCGAGGCGCATTGGCAGCTTCGGCGTCGGCGGCAGTAGCTGTTCTGGTCCGTGCTTAATGCCCAGTCCCACCATAAGGCTGCGAACTAGCAATACGGGGGAGGCGCCACAGATGATGTCCTCGAGGGATTTCTTGCAGGCCGCGCTGCAGCAGCATCAGCAGGCGGCAGCGGCGGCCGCCGCCGCCTCCGCTGCGGGCGGCGGCAGTGCCGCCACCGCCGCCGCCGGCGGCGGCGTGTGGGAGGCGCATCTAGAGTCGTTGATGAAGGAGCAGCTAACGGGGGGCAGGTGGGCCGGCGCCCATGTGTACGGCAGCTTGGGAAGCTTAAATGGGGGCGGCGGCGGCGGAGGAGGAGGTGGCGGCGGCGGTAGTACGGCAATTGCGGTCAGCCGCAGCAACAGCGCAAGTCGGGTGAGCCGTAGTGGTAGGACGCTGGCGGCGTCGCTGCGGCGGCTTCTTCGGGGAGCCAGCGGATCTGAAGGTAAGAAGGCCTGGCGTGAACCTGTCCTGTTTTGTTGCCTAACCTGGCTGTGAAAGCCGAA